GAGAGAGAGAGAGAGAGAGAGAGATGAACGTGTGACTAAACGGTCTCGACTCGGACAGAGGGGGTCAAACAGTGAACTCTGCTCTCTACAGTTATGAATCATCTCTGAATATTATGATTGGACACCAAGAAGACATTGTCGTCATGCGGGACAACGCAGGAGGACGAGTGGTCAACCGCATCTTCGCACCTTCACAGGTTTGAACTGTCGATGTTTTCTTCCTATTCCTGAAAAACAGGGTTGTGTTTTCTCCTCTTTATTAAAGAGTGTGTTCTTTCAGTTGCAGAACAGGATGAACTGATCTCACGTTTCGATTTTTAACACCTTCACTCAAAAACAGCTCCTGCTTGAGCTTAGATTTTCTCTGCTTGGGTTCAAACTCTGCACTTGCACTCAGATATTTTGTTTCTTGCCCTCAGATTTCCTGTGCTGCAGCTTCAGCTCTTCTCCTCACATTGCTCCTGTGTGCACATGTAAAAGAAGTAGTACTTAGTAAGAACTGTGTGTTTTTGTGTTTTCTTACCAGTCGTAGGAGTTTGGAAAGTGACGTCCTTCATAATGAACTGTGCCGTGGTTCTTCTGTTAACATCCAGCTGCTTCACCTGGTCTGCAGCTGGAAACATCCCCAGCAGAGAAGGTAGCGTCCACACACTGTCTCACAACAAAAGAAACCCAGATGTTTGTGGAGCTGTAAAATCTGCAGCCTGGTCAGATGATGATTTGAAGAGTTAAGAGTTATTTCAACAGCAGCAACTTTAACACACGGCTGGTGGTAAAGACTGTTTACATGGAAACCAATAATCTGATCATCTATCAACCTCTTTATGAATTAGACGTAACTCCGACTTTTACATGAGTTGCTGATAAAATACTTCATTCATAACTTTGTTTCCATGTAACAGAGCGATTACATGCACTGTGTCAAACATCAGACATTTAACCTAACCCTAACAACAACAGGAGTGTATGTAAAATAAAACGCGTTATCTGCCGATGTTACCCCACGGTTTAAACGCTGACACCTGCTGGTTGCTGTTTGTCTCTAGCACCCAACAAGCTGAAGTACCTGTTTGAACCGCCCGTGTACGCTGAGGTCGCTGGCCGGAGGGGGGGGAATGTCACCTTGCCGTGTATTCTGAGAATGAAACCCAGCCTTTACAAAGTGAAATGGACAAAGCTGGAGCCGGGACACGTGGGGCCGGAGTTTATCATCATGATATCAAACGCCCACACCTTCAAGCCGTACGGCCGCCTTGGACCGCGGGCCTCTCTTCGGAAGGCTCACACCATGGACGCCTCCTTGCAGCTTAGCCGTCTTGAGCTGGACGATGGCGGCACGTATCGCTGTGAGCTTGTCAATGGCCTCGAGGATGAGAGTGTTGTCATAACGTTGACTATTGAAGGTAACTGGAGCAACGAGACCAGGGAGTCAAGGAATGTCTGGAGGGAGTTGAATGTGTTTGTCAACTGGTGTAAAATATGTTTGAGACGTTCCCACAATAGAATCTGTGTAGAGATGGACGAGGTGACTGTAGTGACGTTTGTTCATTGTTCTGGTAAATTTGCTTTAAATTAGTTGATGTTATAAAATTGGGTGAGAAGTCACACTTGAGACCTCACGATTGTTTGACCATGTGTATCAACGGAACGTCGATGCCATGGCTCCTTCCCCCGGCCACTACCGCACAGATACTGACTCCGATGAGCATCCATCTTTAAATACAGGGGCAAGGATTTCATCAGGGCAGAGGGTTTGTGTTTGGGATTCCCGTCTTTGACATGACACGACTGACACGATGGCTTCTATGTGTAGGTGTGGTGTTCCCCTATCAGAGCAAGAACGGACACTACAGATTCACTTTCTATGAAGCCATGGAAGCTTGTGCTGAGCAAGACGGCTCACTCGCCACATACAACCAGCTCTACAGAGGTACTGCCGCGCAAAGAGGTCACCAGCCACCAATCATATTGTATTTTGTCTGCATCTCTAATAACTCCGCATGTCTCCTCCTGCAGCCTGGATGGACGGTCTGGACTGGTGTAACGCAGGTTGGCTCCATGATGGAACCGTTCGATACCCAATTATCAATCCTCGACCTGTCTGCGGAGGAGAGCTGCTCCCCGGGATTCGCACCTATGGACCAAAGGATAAAGATCATGATCGGTTTGACGCCTTCTGCTTCACCTCTCAGACGTCTGGTGAGTTGCTTTGACTCATCTGCGCGACGTCTCCTTACATTTATGCCCCAATGTTGTACGAGCTTCAGCTTTTAATTGTAGAGCTCAACAATTTGGCTCCAGAGATGAAAATCTCTTTTATTTTGTAAATGGAGGTTCTGATTATCAGCCATAATATTTTAAAGGTGTAGTCTGTTCTTTACCACAATCAGATCAAAATCAAACTTATTCCAAAACAGTAACTCACAATTTCCAGAAAAACCCAAACTTCTAGCATCCAGCATCAGGATGACCTTTAGCAGCAGATGTGCGACAGTGGGACTGAGAGTAGGTTGACAGAGGACAATAAATTCTGCTCGTGAGACATTTGAAAACAAAGTCATCAGTGGGAACATACTTGGCTCCATCCCTGAAAACATCCACTGGAAGCAGAAAACTGTGAGAAAGGAGTTGGAGGTTGTTTCTTCATCTGCTAAAAGTTCTAAAGTTTAATGGGATCTTTGACCGACACAACATCCGTCCACCAAGTGTCGTGGAAAGTCCTCCAGTTGTTTTTTAGTTATAACATTAGATTGTGTTCAAATGATTCCAAGCTGCTGGATTGAAATGTCCTTATCGATCTCTCCGTGTCTCACAGGCTCTGTCTTCTACATATCGGGGTCCTTCTCCTTTGAGCAGGCAGGACATGCATGTGAACATCAGGGGGCTGAGCTGGCGTTGGTCGGCCAGCTTTACTCCACCTGGCACTTCCAAAACTATGATCAGTGCGACGGCGGATGGCTGAGAGACGGGAGCGTACGGTTCCCCATCAGCAAACCCCGCAAGCGCTGCGGAGGCATCCCCGGGGCAGGGGTGCGCTCATTTGGATTCCATGACAAGATGACACATCTTTACGGAGCCTATTGCTATAGGTAGCCTCAAGTAAAATCACCAAGTCTCCCAGTCAACAAGCGCAAATTGATTTCACGCTGTTATTTCCAGGAACAGCAGCAGCAAACGGTTTGAATAAGACTCGTTCATGCTTCCTTTACGTACCAAAAGAGATACGTCCCTTTCAAACAATGTGACTGTCATCATCCGTCCATGCGTCTGTTAGGTTGGCTATGATTCTCTTACTACACTGCCCCCCCATGATCTCCAGTGGTACTGCTACATTTTGTCTCGTACCACCAATAAGGACAGAATGAATGCAGAGTACGGACAGAACGCTATGTTTCCGTATATGTATCTAACATTGAGCATGAATGAGCCTATAGAGAACAGTTTTTCTGCGTCATTTTGCGTTACCACAACAGGTTGTTGGCATCAGGCCACTTCACTTCTCGTCGACTAGTAACTGACTTAAAAATGTCTTCGTATGACCCACGAGCACCAAAGCAAGAAATCTCACATCTGACGCAACAGACGATTACTGACGTCAGGCGTATATGGTTATATTTACATTTTTTAAGAAATCTCATTAACCATATAATGAAGTAATTGTGTCCGCACCAAGATGGCGCTGAACCAAACGTTAAACAGCCGCTCACTAACCAGTCAGTGACGTCATGATTGACACTTGCTACGAGTCAAACCCAGGTTAAACGACCACGTGTGATTCAGTCAGAAGCAATAATCATTGTCGGTTGGTGAAAACAGACGTAATGTTGTCGTGGGTTAACTTTGGAAAACACCAGCTTCTGTGAATAATTCATAATTAATAATGAACAGATGTTAATCATCCTTCTCTTAACATGTGATGAAAATAGACCTGCTTGTTTTCTGCTTGTTTGTTTATTGAACACGACAGGAAGCTGCTTCCTCTGAGGTCAAACTGTCAATTAATCACATGTCATTTAATTTATTCAATAAATTCAAATATCAACATATCAGTGTACTGATTTGCTAATAAAACTGGACTATGTGTGTGTGTGTGTGTGTGTGTGTTTGTGTGTGAACTGTTGAGGAAACCTACGTACATTATTTTTTCAGACTCATAAAGTCACTGTGACCTAAACAAAATCTGACCAATCTGAGACCAAGTGGACATTTGTACCAAATATGAAGAAATTCCCTCGACTCGTTCTTGAGATGTCTTGATCTCAAGGATGGACAACCTGAAAACATAATGACTCCAGCCACTAGGTGTCGCCAGCACAGACGCAGAGTTAAAGTGAAGTCATGTTAGTTAAGAGTCGTGAGATCATTAATCATCATTAATTCATTCACCTTTATGCAGTTAAATCCAACAGGTAACAAGAGCAACAAGAGATTATAAAATTACATTTAATTGATTCATTTCTACGATATTACTCGTACACGTAAATAG